CGCTACGCAGCGCGGCGCGAGCAGAGCTCGCGGCGATCTCTCACCCAGGAACAAGGCGTTCAAGTCACATTCCCAGTCTGCGCCGATCGACAATCAGGCCAGGAAGTAAGCGGGCGGTGTAGCGATTTGTCCTGTCCGTCATACGCGTGGGGACAGACGTAAGGGTAATCGACCGCGCCTCGCCTGTCCGGCTCCCTTAGAAGCCAGTCAGAAGCTGAATGCCATCGGATGATGGATTGCGAATGGAGGGTGACGCGTACGGCGCAAGCGTGGTAGAGCGATATCTTGCGCGCGGTTTGTTGATCGGCAATCCGCCGGCAGGTCTGCGGCGGTTGTTTTGTTTTAACCGGCGGTTTCGTTTCTTCTTTGTGAGGTACAGGAAGTAGTCTTTGGGGCCTGTGACGGGACGGGCGGCCATTGGGCTCGGGGCGCCTCGGCCGCGATCCAGAAAATCCAGCTAAAAGAAGTTTCCGTTCGGTAGTTTTACGTGTTGTGGTTGTTTTTAAAAAGAAAATGTTTTTACGCGGCGGCGAGGTGGCTTCCGACTTGTTTTCCTGGTCGCCTCTACGGCACGTGCGCACACTGCGTATAAAGATGCACGCTCTGCCACTAGTTCGTTCTAGTAAGGCTGTAGTAGCGGACATGCTGAAAATTTGGGTTTACGCGATGGTGGGTTAGAGTGACGAATGCCGGCACGCGTGCGGCTTTAGCAATGCCCCGTACCCCGCACGCGGCGGACGCGGTAACCTCTGCTGGTGGAGGTATCTCTGCTGGCACAATGCCCAGTAAGTGTGCGATGGTAAAAGGCGTGCCGATCGTCCCCGTAGTGCTGGTTCTGTCGCAGAGAGAGATGCAATGTGAAATCGTGGGGCATTTGTTGAGGACGTTTGGGGGAGGTCAAACGGTCGGGGTTTTGCCATTTACTTGGCTTCATAGTGGCACAGCCGCTTCCCCTTCCCGGCCGAAGTAACAGCGCCAGGTGTTAAGCATTTGATGTATGGTAGTGGTTTGCCCGGTCTTTACCATAGCTTAATATACTAGATAGTATTATCAAAAAAACATGATATTTATTTATTAACGGAAGAGATATTTTAATGTGAGTATTATAATCGTCTCGTGCGTGTTAGAGAGTTGGTGCCAGATTTTCACGCAAAGATTTCGGAAGCGCAGTTTTGACCGAGCAAGGGCGTTCCGTTAACAAGCTTTCTTCGTCCCTGTCTAGGCAAACCGGGGTTTGGCTGGCAGCTTTCGCCCGCAACGCTATCTATTGCAACCCTTTTCTGCCTTTGAAGGCCGTTAAAGCGGGGGGGAGAACGGAAGCTCGGAGCGTAGTAGCGGCGGGCAAGTGAGCGGCAGGGGGCGGCCACCGGGTTCGTGCTCCGGCTTCCATACTAAAAAGGCGGCGTTACTAGGGGGCGGGCAATTGGCAGCAAGCTGTGGCCGCACGGCAGGCCTGCGGGCCACTAGAGGGAGCAAACGGATCAGCAGCGGTTCACGCGGCCGCGGTGATGGGTGGCCTAAACCGTCGTCTGGCCGTCGAAGCATTTTCAAAGTCCCGGTGTCGTAGCCCCAACCACCCGCCCGCTGCCCCCTGCCTCTGTGTAATTGATGCTGTTTATTCGGGAGGTTGAATGAGGGGAGAAGGGCACTGTTTAAGACGTTGTGTGTGGCACGAGTCGTTGGACAGTCGTCCCTCAGCTAGGGGGTGGGGGGACTATTGTCAGCCTCCTAACTTTATATTAACGTACGCAATTTCTGTTCAGTCCAGCATCTATTTGTGGCCTGTCGTGAATGGGCAGGTGGCGGCACGTGGATCTGTGTCGTAGGTGCGTAGGATTGTGCGCTAGATCGGGTCGATTGTTTTGCAGGAAGTTACTACTCGCATTTCTAGTTAAGGCAAGCTTCTCCTTATCGGGATTCGTGTCTAACAGTTCAGTTCTGTCGTGAGAGTTGTGACTAGGCTACGGTTCATTCAGGCAGGTTACCGTAAGACTTGTAACTTGGCGCGACAGTTTTGGACAGTTGTTTCGTAAAAGTTGTGGCGAGCTAGCAGTCCAGTCGCAATTTCCGCGGAGACTTGCGGCTAGTATTGTGTGTTTGCAGTCTCCGTTTCGTGAGTTGTGACAGCCGGTGTGCTGTTCGGCGTGAGACTCGAACTAGGCAGTTCAGTCGGGCTGTTTCCGTAAAATTTGTGGGCTAGCTCGGTGGATGACCTGTTTCGTAAGATTCAAGGACTTAGGAAGCGGAAAGCATAAAAGTTTGTGTGGCTTCAAACAGTCCGTTGGTGATGTCGCGGCACGTGTTGATAGGTGAGCCGCTAACTGGCGCCATCTTATAAGCAGAATGCGTTTGTGTCTCCGTTGGCTGCTCCTTGTGTTGCATTACGTTTTTCAGTCGTGTTTAGCGTGGTAAAATGCTAAATATTATTAATATGTATTATTAATAATAAAGTATTATTATCATTAAAATATTATTTTTTTTGTGTTAACGCAGCACGGGGATGGCGTGCGAGGGACATCGGGCAGCTTTCCCGTTTGGCAGGCCCTGAGGTGTGCCCTGGGCATCCACATGGTTGGGTTCCCGCCGGATGGCCATATATATGTGGTTTGGCAAGCCTATCGTGTGTCGGTATGTTTGTGGTGCCTGTGCGGTTTTATACGTGGTTTATAAGCTTAGGCACAATCATAGCGTGCGGTGTAAGTGGGGTTTGTAGTGGCTGTATACATCGGTTAAGACAGTTCACACGTGGCAGTAACCGCTAAATTAAGTGGTTAGCACTAACCTGTCGCACAACACCGCAGTCCGTACCATGCACGTTGTAGCACCACCTCCGTGCAGTGGTTATATATATATACATTATAGTAAATATATATGTGGTCACAACCTGTGACTGTATAGTGAGATATCAGTAAGCGTGGCGCGTATGCCACAAACAGCACTGCACGCAGCTGCTTGGAAGTGAAGGTGTTCGTCAGTGTTCTGAGGGCTCGGGACCCGTGAGAGATCTAGATGGATGGGAGGGTTCCCAGCATAATATATTAAGCAGGGAACCAGTGTGGAAACCACCCACAGAAGAACAAAACTTAACAGAAGCATCTGAGGTGGCTATGAGAGATGGATGGAATGGTTCCCAAAATAATATATTAAGCAGGGAACCAGTATGGAAACCACCCACAGAAGAACAAAACTTAACAGAAGCATCTGAGGTGGCTATGAGAGATGGATGGAATGGTTCCCAAAATAATATATTAAGCAGGGAACCAGTGTGGAAACCACCCACAGAAGAACAAAACTTAACAGAAGCATCTGAGGTGGCTATGAGAGATGGATGGAAGGGTTCCCAAAATAATATAGTGATCACAGAACCAGTGTGGAAACCACCCACAGAAAAACGTAACTTAACAGAAGCATCTGAATCGGCTATGAGAGATGGATGGAAGAGTTCCCAGCACGACATAGTGAGCGGGGAACCGTTGTGGAAAGCTTCCGCGGAGGAGCGTAACAATGCGAGCCTGTGCGAAGCAAGCGCGGGAGAGGTTGTGTGGTCGACTTCCCGACTCGATCCCGGTGGCAGGCAGACTCCCGGATGGGGTCGCCGCGACGACGACGACACCGACGACTCCGGCAGCTGGAGCGGCGCGCTCCTCGATTCGCGGGCGTGGACCGCCGACGGTGGCGCCCTCGTCGCCGCGCCCGTCGACTTCCGCTTCGCGGCGACGGGTGACCCGGCGGGGGCGTTCGGACGCTGGGGTCCCGAGCCGGATTACTCCAGCCTTGCAGCGTGGCCGGACGGCGGCGGCGAGGGAGAGGCGAGGCCGATGCGGCGTTCGTGGTTCGAGCGGCGCCACCTAGCGGCTGGCGACACGATGCCAACGACCGGCTCCGTCGAGAAGATGAAGCTGGAGCTGAACGATGAGCAGGGGGCGCTACTGTGCGACATCGACAACATGCGCGAACTCGACCACCAGGGGGCGCCGCTGCGCGACGATGTGCGGGAGGAGGAGGCGTTAGCGGCGGGCGGAGGGGCGGCCTGCCGGGCTGACGATGTGGGCACCAGCGTCGGGCGGGCGTCCCCGTTTGGGACGTGGTCGCACAAGGCGGCACCTGGGTCGCTCGGACGTCCGTGGGCGAACTGGGTAGCACCACGACATGCGTCGTCCGATCGTCAGAAGGAGGAGCGCGGAAGCGACGCGGAGGCGGCAGGGCCGGGGGCGAACGTCCGTGCGGGAGAGGGCGCCACCGTCGTGCCGGACAGACACGGCGCAACGCGCAGCGAGCGCATTCATCAGTCTGGTTCACAGCCGCCCGGATTCACCACCAGGGGGCGTCGCGACGACGCTGATGATGATTCTGTGATGAAGAGTTCACCGATGGCCAGTAGTGATGGGAAGATGTGCGGCGGAGAAGCGAGCAGCGTAAGTCACTGTCACTGTCACTAGCACTAGCACTGTCACTGTCACTGTCACTGTCACTAGCACTAGCACTGTCATTGTCATTGTCACTGTCACTAGCAC